GAAATTCCACAGGACCATGCCCACGATGAGGCCATGCCTCTAGTGGAGTGCGCCCTGATGCCCAGAGGGCAGGGCAGGCATTTAGATGCGTAAGCAGAGGCGATAGCGTCTACTATCCATCTAGACAGTGTCTGTTTAGAGGCGGCCAGACCTTTGGAGCGCCCCCCAAACGACACGAAAAGCTGCTCAGCGCGTCTGAACGCGGCAGCGCGCGTAGTGTACAATCTCAGAGCCCGCACCGGGCAGAGGAGATTGGCGTCGCGCTCACTATCGGATGAAGGCAGAGCCGATAGGGAAATAATCTGAGCCCTGAACGGGGTACCAATCGCCTTCGGGACATAGCCATGTCTAGGTTTGAGAATGACAACAGAATCATTCGGGCCAAACTCGAGACACGCGGCGCTGGATGAGAGCGCGTGAAGATCCCCCACGCGTTTTACTGAGGACAGAGCCGTCAGAAAAACGGTTTTGAGCGAGAGGTATTTTAGGTCCACAGACTCGAGCGGTTCGAACGGGGGTGCTTTCATAGCTTCGAGAACTATAGAAAGATCCCAGATAGGAACCGAAGCGGGGCGCGGAGGGTTCATCCTCTTAGCTCCCCTGAGGAAGCGGATGACTAACTCGTCTTTGTCCAGGGACTGAGCGCGTCGGGGTTCAGAGAACGCCGCGGCGGCTGCCACGTAAACCTTGAGAGTGGAGGGGGACCTGCCCTTGTCCAGCATCTCTTGAAGGAAAACAAGCAAAGACGGCACCTCGCATGACCGTGGGTCCAGATGTTTGTCGGTGCACCATTTTGAGAACACAGACCATTTAGACGCATAGAGCCTTCTCGTGGAAGGTGCTCTAGCCTGTATGATAGTGTTTCTTACTCCTTCTGGCAAATCGACGAATAGTCGTTGATCACCCATGCATGTAGCGCCCAGCGCCGTGGATGGGGGTGCCAGATCGTGCCGCGAGCTTGAGAGAGGAGATCTGCTCTGACTGGGATGGGCCACGGGGCTGTCTGCGACAGCTGAGTGAGCTCCGGAACCCAATTCTGACTCTCCCAACGCGGGGCTATAAGGAGCACCGAGTGGCGTGTGTCCCTGATCCTCTGAATTACCTGTGGTAGCAGAGCGATCGGAGGGAATGCATAGAGCGGGCGGCGAGGCCATTCCTGGGCTAGCGCGTCCTCGCTCCTTGAGAAAAATATTGGGCAGTGAGCGTTCTCTTCTGACGCGAAGAGGTCCACCTCTGCTCTGCCGAATAGCCGCCACAGTATTTGGACCGTTTGTGTGTTCAGGGACCATTCTCCTGAGGAGATGAGGTTCCTGGACAGTATGTCTGGACCGTCGTTCAGATGGCCCGGCACATGCGTCGCTCTGAGCGAGAGCAGGCGGCTCTGAGACCAAACTAAAATGCGGTGTGTCAGTAGGAAGAGATTCCTGGACCTGACACCGCCCTGACGGTTGAGATAGGAGACCACAGCCATGTTGTCCGAACGGATCAGGACGTGGTGTCCCCGAATGAGCGGGAGGAAGCGCGAAAGCGCGTTCTCGACCGCAAGCATTTCCAGACAGTTTATGTGTAAGGGGCTTTCCTGTGTCGACCAATGGCCGAAGGCCGGTGAGCCCTCGCAGACTGCACCCCAACCCGTGTTGGATGCATCTGTCGAGATGACTTTTCGGCGGGAAAAGGTCCCCATCGTGACGCCCTGTCGAAACCATTCTGCTACTGTCCATGGCTGCAGCGCCGTGAGACATGTCTGCCTAACTCTGATCAGCTGGCGGCCCGTGTTCCACGCGCGCCATGATTGGGCCAAAATCAGCCAGTCGTCCAGATAATTCAATATGCGCAGCCCCTGGCTCCGCAGGGGGGCGAGCGCCGTATCCATGCACTTCGTAAATGTGCGGGGCGCCAGGGATAAGCCGAACGGGAGAACGGCGTATTGATAAACATGACCCTCGAAGGCGAAACGTAAGAATGGCCTGTGACGGGGATTTATCTGGATCTGAAAATAGGCGTCTTTCAGGTCTAGAGAGATGGACCAGTCCCCCTGGCGCACCTGCGCGAGGAGTTTCCTGGTAGTGAGCATCTTGAACGGTCTCTTCATGAGCACTTTGTTCAAAGACCTGAGATCTAAAATCGGTCTGAGGCCGCCGTCTTTCTTGGAACCAGAAAATAACGGCCGTAAAACCCCGACTCGGTCATAGATGGTGGGACTCTCTCTATGGCGCCCTTTTGCAACAGCGTCGCAATTTCTGAGCGGAGCGTGCCGGCGGCCAGCGGGCTGACAGTAGATTCGAGCCGCGCGCGCGCACGATGCGGGCGGCGGCGAAACTGTAGCAGATAGCCGTTCTTTATAATGCTTAGTACCCACGGGGAAATGCCTGGAATGGCTTCCCACGCTTTGGAGCATGCGGCTAGTGGCCGAATGGCTATATCGCCCTGATTGCTGCACATAGCGGGCTGGACACAGTGTGTGGGCGCGCTTTGAATGTGTGTGGCAACGGGATTTGCACTCAGAGAGGAGTCTATGGGCCGTGAAACAGAGCGAGCAGAGAGGGGACACGCGCACGAGCTCGTGGGCGTGTTTATGTTCTCTGATATTAGAGCGGGCTGTGCCCGTTTCATGTGATGGCGACCAAGTCCTCGACGGGCGGCATGGCTGAGTAACCTTTTTCGGCGGCTCCGTCCACCGAGCGCAGCGAGGCGGATATATCGGAGCGGTTTCTAGCCGAGAGCGGGGCATTCCAGGACTTCGTCAGCTCTGTGTGAAGTTCAGGCAGGAATGGGGCGGCCCGGTTACACGCGGGGGTCGAGCGCCGATGAAAAAAGCTGCCGTCCATCCGGTTCGGGGCCTGCTCGGGTGGAGGAGACCACTCGAGACCGAGGCGTTCGACGGCCTGTGAGAGGAGGCGCATTAGTTCCTCCTCTATCCCGGCGCGGATCCCCGCCGACTCTCTCGTGGATCCGAGAGATGACCAATCTTCACTGTCTGATGCGAGCAGTGAACATGAGTCCTTCTCCTCCGCGGCGTCATCGGAAGCGACAGAGCGGCCACTCGGCGGCAACTGTATGTCCGGCAGGGGCGGGGAGGGAGAGCGGGAAGCGGGAAGCGGCGGCGGCGGCCCGCATGGTTCCGCTGGGGGCTCCGGCGGCCTCTGGGAGCGGCGTTTCTTCTTACGCGGCGAAGAGGAAGGCGGCGCGGGAGCGGATTTTGCTGCCAAAAGTCGTGCCCGCAGGGACGACAACGGCAGGCTCTCACAGAAGTCGCATCCTCCATCCGCGAGGGCGAGTTCTGCGTGCTCGAGTCCCAGGCAGAGAGCGCAGATGACATGGCGGTCTCCGTCCTCGAGACGAGCGCGGCAAGAGCCGCAGGAAAAACGAGACATCTTTAAAAAGACGCTCGGCTCTTTTAGATATAAATAGAGAAAAGAGAAGGATACAGTCGTCGGATGGCGCTAGCTTGCAGGGCGGCTGAAGGTGGCGAAGACGGCCGGCTTCTTCAGGGTCCGGGAGCTCGCTAGAGTGATGCCTTCTCGACGGCGACGGCTTTTCTCAGGACAGCAGAAGCGTGCAGCTTGCTGAAGATGAAATGAATCAACATATAAGCCTGGGAGAGACTGTTATATACACCATAGCCACGCCCATTCTGGCGGGCTATGACGCAATGAGCGCGCGGGCGCCTCTCATTGGAAGCGGGTTCAGCCCCGCTCTCCCATAGGCTTAAACAGTTCTCTCTGAGCGAACCAATGAGCTGCTAGCTAGCCTGCTCTAGGTCTGCCGCAGAGGAACTGCGTTGTGTATGGATACAAATTATGAAATAATTTTTTGGCTTCAATATCTCAGCAAAGATGAATCTTTCCCGCAGCGTAAGCTAGCTTACGCAATACGAGAGAACCTCTCGTAAGAGAACTGATATATTTTCATAGCACCCCTAATTTAAAGGTGAGGTAGGCAATTCCGGAGTGGCTAGCAATAGCAAGCTAACTTTGAAAGCATTAAATCCCACCCTTTCTTCGGAGCGTTTTCCAAAGCCACGCCTCCTTCAAAACACATGAACGCCACAGCAGGATCTGCAAAGTGTCGGCGTTAAACTACCTCATGTCTCAAAGCACATAACATTACTATAATAATGAACGTAAACAACTTACAGAGCTCTTTCTTGTACCACCTGACTGCTGTAGATTCATTTCAGAGTTATTACGGTTGACACAGAAACGCATAATTCCCAGGCTGATGACGTGGACTATTAGGATGTGAAGAGTTTCAACCAGTATGATAAAAGGTGTTTATGAAAAATATTGCCTACCCTAACTTTAAGACGCAGTAGCAAAAATGAAGATGGAGTTAGGAAGTTTGACTCATTTCATTGAATCAGTTCTTTCAGTAAATCAGTTTAAAACACTAATTGAAAAATAAGTTTGTGTCACTATTGAAGTCAATTTTACAAGTTTTAAAATATTTTAGTAAATATAAATATAAACATCTACATATTGTTATTTTAATGCAACTGTTTTAACGAGAAACGATGATCATAATCTACTTGACGAAATTCAACATTTAGTAAAAATCTAGTTTAACATAATTTAATCATTAGTATTCAGTACTAGATTTTTACTAAATGTTGAATCTTGTCAAGTACAGTAGATTATGATTATAGTTTCTTGTCAAAACAGTTGTTCTGCTTAATATTTTTGTGGAAACCATGAATCTCTTCACTTTTACTTTTGATCAATTTAATTCATCCTTGCTGAATAAAAAGGTATAATTTCTTTCAAGAAATACATAGACACTAAAACATGTAAAAAAATGACACAGGGAATAAACTAACTACTGGAAAAAATCACAACTAATCTAGCTGGTTAAGCAGTCGGCAGGGGTCTGGTTGACTTGACAAAGGAATTCAACACTACAGCACAACAGTGTGTGAAATAGCTGTGAGCCCTAGAGGTCTGGCCCCATGTTTCTTCAGAGCAACACATATTAGTTTTGGCGCACGCAAGCAACTGCTGTACCTCCACCCCGGTCTCATAGGCAGATCCATCTAGCAGAGTGACTTTCACAGGCACTGTCTTTGGTCTTTTGGAGGATTTCTGCGGGGATCTGGACATCCTACTTGGCGTTTTCTCCGAAGAATCATCCGTGTCTCTGTGCTCGTCCGACATCTTTGAATCGTGATCCTGAATATAAGTGATCAAAGGGTATAGTTTAAAAAAATCGAAACAAAGTTACAGTAAAACAAATCTGCTTTTCCGGTCTAGAAACGAAAATAGTCTGAAATCAAAAGCAATGCATGAAAGGATGTTTTATGAAAGTTGCATGGCATTGTCAATTGTATTGTATTATAAGGCATGATATAAGTTAAACATCTTAAGCTTACCATATAACCTCCGTCTGCTGTATTCTTTGTGGTTGAACTTCTCTCTGACATAGCAATCACTTGCAGTCCTAAAATAATAATAAAAAAATGAGGACAAACCCATTAAACAGATTAAACTTTCCACTCACTCTACATATTAATTTCATATTAACTTCTTTAACAGGCTAATGAGCACAAATACATACTGTGAATTTGACCGTTTACAACATACTGGTGCTACTTTCATGTCTATCATATCCAATATTCCACAAAATGAACATGGGTTTGGAACAACCTGAGATTATTGAATTTTCATCTTTAGGTGAACTATCCCTTTAATATGATTCGATAGTAGAAGAACAAACACATCTGTTGGTTTATCTAATGAGCCATGCTGTGAAATGTTCATGTATGCTGCATAGCGAATGTTTCAGTTAGTCACCAAATGACTTATTCTCTTTATAAGCTATACTGAATCAATACTGAATCAAGAGAGGACATCTGGTGACTTATAACGCAAGGAATGTGTTTATTGACATATATTGATGGAAAAACAAACATTATGTGTCTTCATTGTGTGTCAAACCTTATGTCTTCAACATTAGCTAGTGATGATCTCATATCAATAAATGAACAAGCTGTGATACACAGTTTGAGTAAACAGATATACTATGTTGAAATGAAGCACTTACTGAAATGAGTAAAATATTAGCATTTCATTTATTGGCTGTGCTATTTTTCTTTCTCTAGAATAGAAAGCTTGGTTAAAAAATAAGAAAGCTGAATCTAAAAAGGCAAAACGCTTAAAACCTGACTAAATCTACAATCCTTTTCAGCAAATAAACTTCTCCATGTTTAATGGTGTTGAGGTGTTGCAGCTTGACAATTTGATACCACTGTGAATATGCTAATCGCCTTCATTTCCATCTCATTCACTTGCACCACGCTGTGCTACTAAAAGCCCCAAACATCTCCCCCATGGAAAATCTCCAAATATCACTCAATAAAAGCATTGCAGTTACAACAAACAAACCTCCTTATATGGCCATGCTAATTTTCATCGTTCGCTCTTTAAGTACTATCCACTATCCAAATGTACCCGTGATTCAGTCAGAAGACAAACAGCCAGTCCATTAAAATGGCTAATCTATACATTTAACTCTGGACGCTGACTTATCTCTTTTACCAATTAACCGGTTTTAACTGAAACTCTGCAGTTTGCCTTAATGGAGGACTTAATGCTTTAATTATTTTAGCTGAACTGTTACGGCCTTGAGGGTTTAAGCTGTCTTGATGCTTTTATTCATAGAACAGAGGACAAGAAATGATGGGGAGAAGTTTAGGATCGGGAAACATCACGAGTCAGATTTAAACAAACTGTCCACGCGAGCCTATTGCTAGGTCATGAGTCATGACACTTCTATAGATGCTATAGATTCTATAGGAGAGAATATAGACTGATAGAATAAGAGAAAGTATCAAGAAATGTGAAGTTATAACATTTCAAGTCAGTAAACACATTATCAGAGAAGAGAAGAGATGTCGCTGCAAGAGGGAGCCGGGGAAGTTATTTTGATGAAAGATTACAAGGGCATGGGAATTCAAAACAAACAAATGATGTGTGCATGGATAAATCATTTATAATAAATACTGCAATGTTCCATTAAAAAAGTCTATTTTGATTTCATGGTGACTTAAACATTTACAGACTTTCTCTTCTGGAAAAAGGGACCAAAAATATTGATGACTCATCCTGCACAACACAGAATTTTGTCCAATCAAAAGCTCTCTAGAACAGGAATACCCCTCCCCCTAAAACCATTTGCAACCAACTAGCAAAGTATCAAATCATGGTTCATTTTATATGCCCTTAAAAAAAATCATGTGCTTAAAAAACTTCTAGTGTTAAAGGTGCTCTATGAAACTTTTAGCGGCCTCTAGTGGTGATGTTTCAGATTGCAACCAAATTTTACAAGAGCGCTCGTGCTCGAACTCATAGACAATACCGTCTATTAGGCAAATATCTCGGCGAATACTTGACGGATTCGGCGAGCACCGAGCTCGTTTGGACCATCTAGTCGAGCTGAAAAGAACCATATAAGTTCCATAGTTTTTGGTGGTGTTTTCGCGGAGATATTAGCAGAAAACCATCGGGCGCTGCAAAATTGCGGAAGCCGGTGACGTCACGCTCTCAGAAGATAATCGCTCGTATCTCTGGAAAGCAAAGACCCAGAGAGCTCAAATTCGGGGGAGGAGGTCCCAGGGGAACCCTTGCCCGAACGCTAGAGTGGCGGGCCTCGGGGATGCCCCCTACCGGATCGCCGTTCGCTGGGACCCCCGATTTCGAACGGCTATAACTCGGGGAGCCGGGCGAGTTGAACCTCGGGGGTGGGCTTGTTCGAAAGGCCCCGTCCAGCACTACGAACGATTAGAGTCTTGGGAATATTGATCAAAGATTGACTGAGATATAAGCCGAAAAACGTGCGCCTTTAACCGGACGTAACTCCCTGACCGTCTACAATAGACTGTGGCCCTGTCCCAAATGGCACACATGTGCACTTTCGGTCTTGTGGACTTACAATGGCTGCCGCGTGCCCGTGTCCGTTAAGTCCGTGAGACCGCAGTGTGTCCCATTTGTCATTTTTAGATCTCAGAAGGGTGCTCGCGAAAGTGCGGACTCAGAGGAAGACCGCGAGTGCTTAGGGTTCCATTTGGGACAGGGCATAAGGAGAGAGGTTTGGGAGCGCGCATGCACGTCACATCCGTTGGATTTCGCGGTTAAATCCGACCCGGAGACTTCACATAGAAATAGGAATACTGGCCTTCAGAGGTAATAGCAAAACTCGACAAGTGGATCATTTTAATGTGTGATTACAACCCCTTCACACACAGGCAATAAAAAAAGGATTCATTTTAGTAGAAAAGTTACATAGAGCACCTTTAAAAAACACATCATCTACTAAAAATGAGATGAGCCAAATGAAATGGCAGCTACAGAAATGTATGAAGAACCAGAATAGTAACAGTTGCTTTTCCAGCTACTTCTCTTTCAGTTAATGTGTCTTCGGATCAATATATTGATGAGGCCTTTAACTGGGCTAAGAAGGTCAGTTTATAGTCTAGAAATTAATTTATGTGCCTCCATCAATGGATAGTCAATGTTACCACAAATCAATGTTTAGATGAAAAAATGTTTTAATGTTTGACTAAATTATAATATAAAAAATTAAATTAAAAAATATAACACAAAAGAAATATAACAATTTTGACCACTATTTAAAACGTGTGTAATGTGTGTATGTATCTACAGTATGTGTGTACTGCAACATTACATGGCTTAACACAAACTCTAAAGAATTGAACCTTAGACGAACACTGAAGGCTCATAAGCTAACGGCTTAACAAAACAAGTCTGTCTCTGCTGAGGTCTCAGTCAACTCTGCTTGAGCTCAGAAAACAGCATACACGACACGTCAACGTGACCATAGCACAACAGCCTGAAGAAAACAACTAGGAATAAATGAAATAACCTAAAACACTCACACAGAATGCAACTAAATGAAAAGGGAGACACACATAATTAAATAGCACAATTCACCCACAGCTAATGTAATGAAATGTGAGCCTTTTTTATTATAGCTATATAGTCTAAATGCTACAATTGATTTTATTTTCAGTGCAGGAATACTGAGACATACTACACTCTTATATAAAAAAAGGTTTGGTGGGTTTCTATAGAACCATAGGGTTTTAAAGAACCCTTTATGCCAAAAAGGTTCTTAAATGTCTTAAACGACTGCATTATACTTTCATATTTAATGGGTTGTTTCAATTTTTCTAGTGATAAAGTATGCATACAATGTAATCAAAATAAACAAATGAATTAAACCTAAATTATTTAAAGACAAATCCATAAAATTATCCCATATTGGCAGTCACTGAAAGGTTCTAATCTAGTATATGAAGCACCTTACAGAACCCTTTAAGGTTCCATATAGAATCTTTTATTCTAAGAGTGTAGAAGAAATAATCAATTCAACCTGTGAATACTAATAAATAACTCCTGTGATCTTGGATAGATCAGCAGACAGCCATGTTACTGAAATATTATTTTTAATACAAAAGTTCATAAAAATAATATGCCATTTCTAATAACAACAGTCTCAGTTCTGTTTAACAATTTTAATCATGTTTAAATGACTTCAACGGATGCTAACCAGAAATTGTACAAATAATGATAATCCATAGCTTTTTTATTTAATTGTACAGCAACTTTTTTTGCACATATAAATACTACTTTTACCAAAAGATGGCAGGTAGATTTGTTACAATCGCCTGGGGTTCCATCTCATAAAATGACTCTGATTCTGATTATGCATTCATTAATAAGACAAAGATAATGTATTCTTCTTCAAACATATGGGAAGCTTCTGAAGAAACACTAAGACAGGTGGAGGGGAGACAGGGGTGCAGTTCAGAGAGACAAAGAGAGAACACTTCTTTAAAAATGCCAACCATATTACTGCTACCTAATAAGTGAGACTTTAATTCCTCTGTATAATTACATCTTCCGTGTAAACAGATGAAGGATAATGTGGCATTAGGAACCGTAGTGTTGAAAAGCCAAGATTAACATTCAAATCCAGATGCTTATATCGGGATTTAATGCTGTCGAGTTTTTGAATCACACACAAGACAATTTGCACAACAAGAATCTGGGGAGATTAAGAAGTCCAATATCCAAGCTCTTCAGAAGACGACAGTGTGTGGATGTATATGAGTGCTAAAACTCCCCAGTGAAATATTCAGGAAACTCTTGGAAAGAGCACAAGATGAATAGCAGAACATCTGGCCCCCCGTCCCTTGATGCTAACATGCAGAAAGCTACAGAAGCACCTCGGCTCAAATGCTACACAAACGCCAACACATCTCAACTATAATAGGTCTCTTTTGAGTTCATACACCTGGGACAGTTCCAGGAAAAATCGACTCCCTGTGAAGCACAGCTTTAAATACTTCAGTTCAAAGAATGTAATACAATTGTGACATGCTGCCTTTTTGATGACAGGGGGTTAGCGTATTATACTGA